GGTATGAAAATCTGAACATATTTTCCTTTGGTCAGTATCCAATAGAATCAAGTTTAGATACTGAAATCAAATTACGAGAAACAGAAGGGATATAAAATATTTGAAAAAAGTCTAAATGATGTCCAGTATCTAAAATCAACCGATAGATTCCAATAGCTTCAACTGACGCTTTGACTCGATTTCTCATGAAGACAAACTATTCATTTGGGTTTATGATTTGGGTTGTAAGGAATCCCTGCATCGTATTAGAAACATGAGTTGTACAAACAGAATCAATCCACGAAGTATTATAAGAAACTTCTGTCAAATTTGATTCGAAACATACAGAAACACAAGGTTTACCTTTCTTTTTGAACCAGTCTTTGTGCTTTTGACACTCATTTTGATAGTGTCCAGACTTGCTGCAAAAGTGACACTTAATTCCTTTATATTCCTCTTTATGAATTGGGGTAGATGACACATTAATCTTTAGTGGTCCTTGCTTGCCCTTTCCATTCTTCTTTCCAGATTTCTTTACAGCTCTTCTTTGATGACCCATGAGATTAATGGACTGATTTGTTCTTTTCTTAAGTCTTGCTTCCTCTTGAATGAGCATACATTGTAGTTCATTCACATTCCACTTATCTTTCATAGTGTTGTAGTTTGTGTGAAATGGACCATACTCAGGAGGCAAGGAGTTAATGATAAATTGCACAAGGAAATTTTCATTCACTTTCATTCCTAGGGTCTTATGTCTTGCTGCTATGTTCGTCATTTCAACGGCATGCTTATGCATGGTACGAGAACCATCAAATTTCATGTTGGTTAACGTACTCAATAGTGTCCCAGCAAGAGACTTACCAGCGGAGTCAGACTGAGAACAATTCTCAGCAAATTTCATAAATTCATTAGCACTTTCAGTGTTAGAAAATGTACACTTTATGTTGTTTGTTACAGTCATTTGCATAAATATTAAGCTTAATCTGTTCAATTTTTTCCAAGCTTTATAGAAAGATATTTGCTCAACACTGCTAGAATCAGTAAGAACAGGGGGTTTCTCAGTCGTAAGTGCTAAATCAAGATCCAGAACACCAAGGCGAAACTGGACTTGCTCGCGCCATTCAGAGAAATTTAGCCCATTGAAAGTTTGAATAGATGTAGCTTGCGAATGAAGAGAAAAAAAGAGTAGTTACTACAAATAAATAAAACATGCTCGTACATTAATGCTTTGAACATTAAACTTACATAGATATTCATATAAAATCAGATTAAAATAATGATCATAATAATAATAGCGTATTGAAATCTCCTTTGGGTGATATAACAATACACGATAATAAACATAATTGATGCTTGACTTAAATTTAATATAAGGGATAATTGCTTGTACTCAAGTTAGACATGTCTATTATCTTTGGATATATAAATATATATTAACTTAGTATATAAATAGACTACAATTAGATTTAATGATTATAAAACAAATGATCAATCTTTGGGCGATCTAAAAATATTTTATAATCAACAAATTTTAATATTTTTTTAATAAAATATTAAATCATTTCATAACAAGCATCACATACTCTTGATTAATTGAATTTATTTAATTTAATGTATATTAAACTTATTAATTTGGTCACTTTGGTGACTAACAAATTAAACATTACATAGACATTAAATAAATAATAATTTCAATCATATCATTTACTTTAGTTGTATTGATCTAATTAAAAATCTAATTCACAACATAAATTTATTACAATTAACATAAATAAAAATTATATGAAAAATCATAAATTTAGTAATCAAGATTTTGATACCACATGTTATAAAATTCTTGTTTCAACTTTATGACACAAATTTCAAAAAAAAAGTACATAATAGCCAAGATCTTTTAAATTCATGATTTTTACATATCTAAAATAAAGTGACGCATATCTGTATTCATGATGAACAAATTTGATCTTGAAGAGATGAAGTTTCTCTCCCTAATCCTTTGAAACTTTCTTTATTTTCTGATGGAGAGAAATGTACGAGATGTGTTAGGTAGAGAGATGACTCATTCTCAAATTCATGCTCTATTTAACCATCATTCATCAAGGGGGTTACTAATCAATAGGATTTATGATAATTTAATAAATTAATTGATTGTTATTATTAAAATCAATGACATAAATTAGTAACATTTATTTATTTTAAGGGTTATATGAGTTACAAAAATAAATATCATAAGTTGTCATAAGTTATGACATAAGTTATGAGTTAAGAAAATTAATTATCAAAAATAAATATCATAAGTTGTCATAAGTTATGACATAAGTTATGAGTTAAGAAAATAAATAACTTAAGTTATCAAAAATAAATCTCATATGTGTTGAGACTCTTAAAGTACTAAATAATTCCATTTATAGAAATTAGTATCTTATAAACAGAACGGTTTCATCTCTAATTATTCTCAAATCAAATTTTATTTGATATTAATTTCAGTTCAATTTGAATACGCCTGTATCAGCAATATCACATAACAGTAAAAGGTACAGTCATACCACTTACTTCTTATGTATTTACATAATTAACATGTAAACTTTTAAAAGCCACCTTATTTGTGCATTAGAAGAATTATTTCATTTTTTAAAATAAAAATGGTAATATTTTGCTGTAAAAAGGTATTTACTTACCTAATTCTTAAAAGTTGATATTTACAAAAATTATATACCCCTCAAATCTTTAGCATCACCTACAAAAATATTATTTTTACTAATTTCTTAAAAATGTAATACACATTTTCATGTGTAATTTTATGACATTTTTAACGTGTTATAAATATAAATATAAAATTTTATTTGTTAGATATATAAATTTTCTAAAATATTGTTAAGCGAGTTTTATTTGTTCCTAGTAATAATAATAATAATAATTAATAATAATAATAATAATAATAATAATAATAATAATAATAAGAGCAATAATTCTGAGCTGCATTGAATGCATTGAGAGCAGATGACATAAATTAATTATAATAATCAATGTACCAGCCATAGAAAAGTCTAACCATCAATTCGTTATTGGAATTGACTTGACCGTGACTTAAGGGTCTTCTTGAGCAGTACATGGAGATTAGTATATATATCATTTAATTTAATCATATGCATATCAATTAATTTAGCTATTAAACCATCGATTTATTTTCACAGCAACATATACATAAATATTATTTATCATATTATCATATTGTGGTTGCCCATGACTTTTTGGGCAATAAGCTTCCCAATACACCCCATAGTCAAACAGCAAAACCAAGACCCATACCAAGGAATAAACCAAAATTATCATCATCATCATCATTGGAATTGCTTCCCTAATTGGGGATATTTTGTTCATTAGCTTTGCAAGACTTGGCATCCCACAGTGTTCAAAATTTTCATAGTAACAACATTCTTTGTAGGTGTGAAGTTGGATCCCTCTCGGGATTGTACCTGACAATTGATTGTAAGATAAGTTCAGATAGTTCAACTTACTTAGCTTCGCAAAGCTCTTCATAATTTCTCCTGAGAAATGTTTCTTTGAGAGATGCAAACTTTCTAAGCTTTGCATATCACCAATATTGATAGAGATAAGTTCAGATACTGCACTAATATTAAAATGCGGTGGTTGTAAGAAACTTGTAGCCTGAATTTACTCTCATCGTTCAATAAAAATACAGAAAATAAATCTAATATTAGCCTCACTATTCAAAGGTGCAGAATTTACTAGCTTTAAAAAATGTTATTTAAAATTTACAAAGGCAATAGTTTATGTATAATATCATGTAGTTATTGTCTAATTTTGCTATTTTTTAGTGAATACATTGCTTGCTTTTTTCTTGCAATAAATTAAAATAAATTAAGGGAAAATATTGAAGGAGGTTGAATTTTATGTAACAAATTAATTATAAAAAAATAAAATTAAGACTTTTAGTGTTAGAAAGTTAAAATATAAAGATGATAGAATGATTCTGTTAAAATAATTGTTGTACATTAAATTTATTGATGAGATAAAATATTTGCAAGATATTTTAGTAGAAAATTACAGGAAACATAATGCTTGATATGAATATAAAATAGAAGAGTATAAATATGCTTTATGACTCCTAAAATACTAAATAGTTTAATCTTAATTTAAATTCAATTAAAATAAGTCTCTATCAGCAATATTTGAAAAAAAAAAGGGGCATTTACATACATGCCACGCAATTTTTTATTATTTACATATCCAACACATCAACTTTAATATTTAAGATTACATTAAAAATATCATACTTACTAACTTCTTAAAAATGATGGGATGCCTATTTGTATTTGTATGCATAAATGCATAGCACCAAAGTGTTTTGAATGTAAGTATCAAGTTGTAAGTGTTAGATATATAAATTCATAGAAATTGTGTGGTACACAAGTAAATTTCCATTATAATCAGCCATAACAATCATACCTGACTGGAGACCACAAGAGTTATTGTTGGCTGACTTACTGCATTGATAACGAAGGTGTGGCCTTGACTTTAACTTCATCAGTCAGGCGTCAGTCTTTCCAACCAAACTTATATAAATATTAATTAATTAATGAGATTAATATTAGCCTTGCATTAATCGAGCCATTTCACAGTCGGCTTAATATACATTCTATTTCTACGTAGTTATATCATATCAAAAGATTCATGAGATTTTAATTATCATAACGTTTTATATTTCTTGATAAACTTATTAGTTATATCATATCAAAATATACATTCTATTTCTACGTTTTATATTTCTTGATATTTCTTGATACCAAAGTGTTTTATATTTCTTGATTCTTGATATCTTTTTAAGACTTGATACAATATCTTTTTTTAGTTTATCACCCTTTTTATATACCATCCTAACATCCAACTATTATGACATATCATTACACATAAAAAAACAGTATAATATACATTGGGATCACAAACAACACTTATGAAAAAACTCGAATACATAAAAGATCATCATTTAACTATGTTATTTATTGATTAAACCACTGATTCAATTTCATGTTGACAAATACATAAAAATTATTTATCATTTTGTCAAGGAATTGGAAGTAAGTAGTCGCCCAAGTCCTCTTGAGCAATAAGGTCCCCAATACACTCCATAGTCCAACAACAAAACCAAGTCCCACACCGAGGAACAAACTAAAATCATCATCATCCTGAGAATTGCCTCCTTCGTCATGTATTTTATGTTCATCACTTTCGCAAGTTTTATGTAGTGGTTTTCCACAGAGTTTTGGATTTCCGTAGTAACTTGATTCTTGAAAAGTGTCAAGTTGGGTCCCCGTCGGGATTCTACCAGACAATTGATTGTAGGATAAGTTGAGATAATTCAATGCACTGAGCATCACAATGCTTTTTGGAATTTCTCCTAAGAAATGGTTTCTTGAGAGATCCAAACTTTCTAAGCTTTGCATTACACCAATTTTTTTTGGTATCTCTCCCGTGAGTTGGTTTCTCGATAAATTCAAGCTCATCAATCCAACAAGGCTCAATAATTCAATAGGAACTTCTCCAGTGAGCTTATTACAAGAAAGATCTATAATGTTCACGAGAGAGAGTATGCCTTTGAATTCACGAACTATTCCTTTATAATCGATCGATATTGAATCAGGTAAAAGTATGTCTGGAAGGTTGAAAAGTTTCAGGGAAATCGAAAAATCAGGCCTCTGATATGAAAATATAATATAATCATCAGGAATTAGAGGTTCAAGCCTCTTATTTTGGATGGCCATTGAATTAAGAAATTTAAAAGATTTTGGGATTAACCCAGAAAAAAAATTTTGTGCAAGATCCAAGATTTGTAGTTTTTTTAGTTTGGATAGCTCCATGGGAATTGAGCCATGGAATTTATTTGAGTGCAAGCGTAAGATCTTTAAGGACAACAATTTTTCTCCAATCCATGAAGGTACGCTTCCTGTAAGATAATTTTCTCCCAAGTCAAGGGTAATAAGCTTGCTGCAATTTTTTAAAAATGGCATCTCCCCTTGAAAAACATTGTCGTTGAGGTGCAATGAAAATAACGTTGGTAGGTTCCCTATCCATTGTGGAATAGAACCATTTAAGTTGTTATATGACATGCTGAGAAACTTTAACATCTCATAGCTTGAAGCATTACCATTGCAATTTGGAATTTCTCCGTAAAGATTGTTATGTGATAAGTCGAGAAAAATTATTGAAGGCATTTGACATATAGAATTAGGGATTTCACATGAGAGATGATTTTGAGAAAGGTCGAGCACAACCAACAAACTCATGTTCCCATTTACCTATAACTCAATCCCGCTTGAGAACTTATTATTCGAAAATGATACACAACGTACAAAATTCTTTAGCCGAGGAAGACGCCCTTCCAAAAGATTCGATCTTAAGTCGATATTTGCCTCTAATGCAATATTCATTGACATTGGTAGTTCACCTCTTATTGCATTTTGAGACATGTTCAAGTACTTTATTTGAGATGAAATATTCCAAAACCAACTCGGAATGATATCAGAAATGCCACAATTGGAGAGGTCTAATAAGGAAATGAGCTTTTGATTTTGAAGCCATAGTGGGAATTGTGGACCAACAAGGCAAGAACGCAGCAAAAGATAATGAATTTGAAATGGTGGATTCCAATCAGAACTAATCATGTTAAAACTCAATTGATTATTTGAAAGACCTAGGTATATCAATTGTGATAAATTTGCTAAATGAAATTCAGAAAGACTACCCTGCAAATTATTGGAACGAAGGTCCAGAAAAGCTAAGTTAGTTAGTTGTCCAAGACTCTGTGGAATAAGTCCATCAAACTGATTATTTTGAAGATAAATGTATTTTAAATTTCTCATATTTCCAACACATTCAGGTATGCTTCCGCTCATTTGGTTGTTGGAGATATCAATTGCTGTTATTTTATATTCTTTGCATTTTAAAGGAGTTCCATCATCACTTAATTTTGTAAAATTATTATTGCTAAGGACCAAAACTTTGAGATCACATAAAAAGCTTAAAGAGACAAATGAGATAGGTCCTGTAAAATAGTTTGAATCGAGGTCTAATTCATTTAATCTTTTGAATTGTCCTAACCAGTTTGGCAAACTTCCATTGAGATGGTTATAACCAAGAGCAAATATTTCAATGGTTGATGAAAAATTAGAATATGGAAGTAAATTCGGAAGTGTTTGTAGGTTACATGATGACAAATACAAAGTAGAAAGAGCTGGAAGCACACTAATCTCATGTAACCAATTCGTAGCAAATGTTAGATTCACCTTCGACATATCAATGTGTTGTAAAGAGAAGAGGTGTGACATCCATAAGAGGTTATAAGCAACTAGAGAATTATAACTAAGATCAAGGTATCTAAGTTTTGTCAAGTTTCCAATATGAGGTGGAATTTCTCCGACGAACCCCGAATAGGAGAGATCAAGATGGCTCAATTTAGTGAGGGAACCAATAGAACGAGGGATCCTCGTTTGATTGAAGTGAATGTTACTCAAGCACAAATATTGCATGTGTCGTAAGCGAAAAAAAGACGGATGTAATGATGCGGCATATAAAGTTTCTGAAAAAACAGATAAATCGAGTTTGATGACATGATTTGTTTTATTACTACAACTCACTCCCTTCCACGTGCAACAATCCTCGTCGGTATCCCAACTCGAGAGAACGATGTGAGGATCAGATAGACTTTGCTTAAAATCAAGAAGGGCATCTTTTTCCTCAGCACTACAACGTTGTTTCACCTTGTGAATAGCTAAGCCATCTTCGCTTTCAGCTCTCAAGCAATAGAAGGAAAGGGTAAATAATATTTAAATTCAATCAATGCCTACAGTACGGATGTTAAGGAATTCATTCCCATCGTTCAATAAAAATATATAAAATAAATATAATATTAGCCTGGCTATCCAAAAGTTAAGGAATCTATTCATTCCCACAGTACTGCTGTTCTGGAATTCTTATTTATTTACATATGTAACACCTAAACTTTAATATTTAACATTTACAGATAAATCGAGCTTGATGACATGATTAGTTTTATTACTAGAACTCACTCCCTTCCACGTGCAACAATCCTCGCCGGTATCCCAACTCGAGAGAACGATGTGAGGATCAGATAGACTTTGCTTAAAATCAAGAAGGGCATCTTTTTCCTCAGCACTACAACGTTGTTTCACCTTGTGAATAGCTAAGCCATCTTCGCTTTCAGCTCTCAAGCAATAGAAGGAAAGGGTAAATAATATTTAAATTCAATCAATGCCTACAGTACGGATGTTAAGGAATTCATTCCCATCGTTCAATAAAAATATATAAAATAAATATAATATTAGCCTGGCTATCCAAAAGTTAAGGAATCTATTCATTCCCACAGTACTGCTGTTCTGGAATTCTTATTTATTTACATATGTAACACCTAAACTTTAATATTTAACATTATATTAAAGATAAGATTCTTACTAACTTCTTAAAAATGATAGGATGCATATTTGTATGCATAAATCTATAGCACCAAAGTGATTTAAATGTAAATATAAAGTTGTAAGTGTTAGATATATAAATTCATAAAAGTTGGGGGTTATATAGGTAAATTTCACTTACAATTATTAATTTAATATATTTTGTGTAAATGGCAAAAGATTCATGGCCATCATGGTTGACCGACTTGCTGCATTGACTGACTTACTGCATTGATAATGAAGGTGTGGCCTAGACTTGAATTTCGTCGGGCGAGACATTTCAACAAAACTTTCATAAATAAACTAATTATTATTTTACTTTAATGAGGTTAATATTAGCATTCAGGATCCAAATATTAAAATTCAAAATAAATTTAATGTATTTTATTTTAATTTTAAAAAAACATGAACAAAATCACCAGCTAATGAGTCGAGTAGGGTCTTGTTAAGCTAGGCCTTTTAGCTCATCGAACTTGGCTTCTAATCAAGTTAAACTCGAGTAGACTCATGAGCCGACTTGACTTTGTTACACCCTAACTTAGACTGACTTAATGCATTGATTATGACCCAAAAGACTTTTTTAATAATAGTGAATAGGCTATCCATAAAATTAATTTCAAGTCCCAATCGATTATTAAGCTTCACTCATACAATACGTAAGCTAAATATATAATGAGTTATAACATCATGGTTAATTGACTTGTCGCATTGACTGACTTACTAAATTAATGACGAAGTTGTGGCCTGGACTTGGACTTCATCGGGCGTGAGTCTTTCCAACAAAATTTACATAAATAAACTAATTATTAATTATTTAATGAGATTAATATTAGCATTGCTATGACGAATCCAAATATTAAATTTTAATATATTTTTAATGTATTTTATTTTAATATTAAAAAAAAACATGAGCCGAATCACGAGCTAATGAGTCGAGTAGGTTTTTCTTAAGCTAGGCCTTTTAGCTCATCGAACTTGGCTTCTAATCAAGCTGAACTTGAGTTTATTCATGGGTCGACTACACTTTGTTACACCCTAACTTAGACTGACTTAATGCATTGATTATGACCCGAAAGACTTTTTTAATAATAGTGAATAGGCTATGCATAAAATTAATTTCAGGTCCCAATCAATTATTAGGCTTCACTCATACAATACGTAAGCTAAATATATAATGTGTCATAACATCGTGGTTAATTGACTTGTCATATTGACTGACTTACTGAATTAATGACGAAGGTGCGGCCTGGACTTGAACTTCGTCGGGTGTGAGTCTTTCCAACAAAACTTACATAAATAAACTAATTATTAATTAATTAATGAGATTAATATTAGCATTGCTATGACGGATCCAAATATTAAATTTTAATATTTTTTTAATTTATTTTATTTTAATATTAAAAAAAACATGAGCGGAATCACGAGCTAATGAGTCGAGTAGGGTTTTTCTTAAGCTATGCCTTTTAGCTCATCGAACCTGGCTTCTAATCAAGCTGAATCGAGTTGATGTATGAGTGTACTTGACTCTGTTACATTCTAACTTAGACTGACTTAATGCATTGATTATGACCCAAAAAGACTTCTATTATAATAGTGAATAGAGCTATCAATAAAATTAATTTTGAGTCCCAATGGATCATTATGCTTCACCCATACAATTAGGGTTGTAAACGAGTTAAGCTTGAGCAAACTCAGGCTTGGCTCTTGTTCGGCTCATCAGAAGTTGTTCGTGACTCGTGAACAATGTGTTTTTTTTGACATGACTTAAATATTCTTGCTCGTGTTCGACTTGAAATTAGCTCGTTAAATTTAATTAAAAAAATTAGATTGAGTGTTGGTTTCGAACCCATGTCAAATCTTTGCAACAAAAAGGCACATAACCATATTAGCGCATAAATTGTTATGCTTTAAACTTAAATATAGATATATATATTTAGTGAGCAGTACATGCAGATTACTATATTTATCATTTAATTTAGTCATATGTATAATGTATATCATTTAATTAAATTATTAATGCACCGATTTATTTTCACGATGACATATATATAAATATTATTTGTCATATTATCATACCACTGAAACTAAGTTATTGCCCATGACTTCTTGTGCAATAAGGTTCTCAGTACACCTCATTATCCAACAACAAAACCAAGACCCATACCATGTAAGGCTCAATTCGTGACAAAGAGAATTGTTGTAAAAATGCAATAATATATAATTTATTATATAAATAAGAATATAGTGATTATTGAATGGCATGTTAGTAATTATAAAATAAATTAGATGTATGAATAAATGTAAATGTTTATAGTGATATATCAATTTAAAAGCGTATATTCTATATTTTCATTTGTGCTGTACTCTTTGCATGCATCATTCGGCACTCTCGACGCATTCGTCGCTACTAAAATTATTATTTCTAAGTCTCGATACGTTGAGATCACATAATGAACTCAAAAAGGCTGATGAAATAGGTTCACTAAAATTGTTTGAATGGAGGGGTAATTGTTTTAAGCCTTTGAATTGTCCTTGACAATTTAGCGAATATTCCATTGATATGGTTAAAAGAAAGATCAAATGTTTTGAGGGTTGATGAAAAATTAGAATATGAATGTAAATCTGAAAGTGTTTTTAGTTTGCAGAATGCCGCATATAAAATTGAAAGAGCTGGTACCTTCAATCTCATATAATCGATTTGTACCAAATATTAGGTTCAAATGACACAGTTCAAGGTATTGTAGGGAGGATAGACAAGATACTCATAAGAGGCTAAAGACAACAAGAGAATTCTCTTTAGGATCAAGAAAGCGAAGGTTTGTCAAGCTTTGTAGATGAGTTGGATGTTAGAAAATTCATGTTTCAACTTTATACACAAATTTCAAAAGAAAAGTACATAATAACCGAAATCTTTTAAATTCATGATTTTTACATATGTAAAATAAAGTGACGCATAACTGTATTCATGATGAACAAATTTGATCTTGAAGAGATGGAGTTTCTCTCTCTAATCCCTTAAAACTTTCTGTACTTTCTGATGGAGAGAAATGTACGAGGTGTGTTAGGTAGAGAGATGACCCATTCTCAAATTCATGCTCTATTTATCCACCATCCATCAAGGGGGTTACTAACCAATAGGATTTATGATAATTTAATAAATTAATTGATTTTTATTAATAAAATCAATGACATAAGTTAGTAACATTTATTTATTTTAGGGGTTATAGAGTTACAAAAATAAATATCATAAGTTATCATAAATTATGACATAAGTTATGAGTTAAGAAAATAAATAACTTAAGTTATCAAAATAAATATCATAAGTTGTCATAATTTATGATATAAGTTATGAGTTAAGAAAATTAATGACTTAAGTTATCAAAATAAATATCATAAGTTGTCATAATTTATGATATAAGTTATGAGTTAAGAAAATTAATGACTTAAGTTATCAAAATAAATATCATAAGTTGTCATAATTTATGACATAAGTTATGAGTTATGAAAATTAATAACTTAAGTTATCAAAAATAAATCTCATAAGTTATTAAAATAAATGTGAGTCATAAATAAAAATATAACATTGGAACCACTTCCTCAAGCTTCATATTAGAAAGATCAAGATATCATATGAACGAGAGAATCAATGTTTTGCAGAAGCTATGTTTGTTTCAAATGCACAAAGACTAAGCTCAAATTTTGCAAATGTTTGAAGTAAAACAACGAGAGACCCAAAGATGTGTCAATTACTAGCTCATTTATGTTAATGCCAAGGTTGTGAATATTTCTTAAGTTTTGAAGCTGAGGTGCAACTTCTCTGATAAACCATGAATAGGAGAGGTCAAGATGGGCAACTTAGTGAGGAATTAATTCTGATCAAACATTAATTCTTGTTTGATCAGAATTAATGCCACTTATGCCCATATATTACAGGTGTTCTAAACAAAAATGTGATGGAACAAAAGACGTTACATGCAAAAGGCCTTCCACAACATTAGAAATGGAAGATATTAGGGATGTATGTGAGCCAAGCTTACTCGCAAGTTGGCTCAAGCTTGGCTCGTTGACGAGCTTGTGAGTCGAGATTATCAATGCCACATTTTCAAATTAAAGTCTGTTGTCATCATTGCGAGTTGATCTCGAGCTTGCATTTTGGTAGACGAGCCACGTTCAAGTTAGGCATGACTCTAGCTTGCGTCGACTCTTTTACACCCCTTAAAGAGATCCTACCAAAATAGAGCTTGACGAGATGGTTGGTTGTACTGAAGTAGTGCATGCATTTCCATCTGCAACTAATTAAATAAATTTCATTGTTGTCTATTCTTGTGTGTAGCCTATTATGCTGCTTATTATCACCATAATCTATTAAATCTTCACTTATATTTCACATTAATGTCTAATAGTACGTGATGTAAATATTTACTTACTTTACACCTAACTTTTCATTTTACATTTATACAACCCAAATTTTCACATCACATCAAAAGTAACATCATATCAACTTTTAAAAAGCGAAATAGATATAAGGCCCTATGTATGTAAAAAGTGAAGTTTAAGTGTTAGATATATAAAAACATAAGAATTGAGTGGTATAAATGTAAATCTTCCAAAAAAAATAATAGAAATAAAGTAAAAAAAATAGTTTGCATCTTTATGTGGGGAGATTCATGCATTTGCAAATAAACTCTTTCTTATTCATGCGCAAATTATGTTCCAAAAGTATTAATAAAGAAATTCGATTAAAAAGTACCAATAAGGAAATTAGACAAACATTAATTTAGAAATAATTGATCAATGGCATATCATTACTTATAAAAATTAGGCTAACTTTAACTGATATTATTACTGGGAACAAGTTGATTTTATAATACTTTAATCTGCTGTTATCACCAACATAGTCTCAAGCAACTCAAGGATTCAAAGAGAAGTGCAGACTAGAAAGACCGAGAACCTCAATTGAAATACTAGTACAACACACTATTATATACATTGTGATCACAAACAACACTTTTTGAAATAATTCAAATACATAAATGATCATGATTTAATTATGTCATTTATTGATTAAACCACTGATTCACTTTTACGTTGACAAATACATATATATTATCTATCACTTTATCAAGGAATTTGAAATAAGTGGCCGCCCAAGACCTCTTGAAAAGTAATGTCCCCAATACACTCCATAGTCCAACAACAAAACCAAGTCCCATGCCAAGGAACAAACCAAAATCATCATCATCCTGAGAATCGCCTCCTTCGTCATGTATTTTATGTTCATCACCCTCGCAAGTCTTATGTAGTGGTTTTCCACAGAGTCTTGGATTTCCGTAGTAACTTGATTCTTGAAAAGTGTCAAGTTGGGTCCCCGTCGGGATTCTACCAGACAATTGATTGTAGGATAAGTCGAGATAACTCAATGCACTGAGCATCACAATGCTCTCTGAAATATCTCCCGCGAAATGATTCATTGAGAGATCCAAACTTTCTAAGCTTTGAATAACACCAATTTTTTTTTGTATGTGTCCCGTTAATTGGTTTCTCGATAAATTCAAGCTTATCAATCCAATAAGACTCATTAATTCAATTGGAACTTCACCCGTAAGATTATTGCAAGAAAGATCTATAATGTTCACAAGAGAAAGAATGCCTTTGAATTCACGAACTATTCCTTTCATACCGATCATTATTGAATCAGATAAAAGTAGGCCTGGACGGTTGATAAGATTCCATAAAGCAAAAAAATCAAGCCCCTGATTTGGAAATATACCACCATCTTCAAGACTTAGAGGTACAAGCCTCTTATTTTGTATGGTCATTGAATTGAGAAATTTAAAAGATTTTGGGATTGACCCTGAAAGAAAATTGTTTGCAAGATCCAAGATTTGTAGATCTTGCTTTTAGTTTGGATAGCTCCAAGGGAATTGATCCATGGAATTTATTTGAGTGTAAGCGTAAGATCTTTAGGGATAATAATTTTTCTCCAATCCATAAAGGTATGCTTCCTGTAAGATAATTTTCTCCCAAGTCAAGGGTAATAAGCTACATAAGCATGCTGCAATTTTTTAAAAATGGCATCTCCCCTTGTAAAACATTGTTGTTGAGGTGCAATGATAATAACCTTGGTAGGTTCCCTATCCATTTTGGAATTGAACCCCTTAAGTTGTTATATGACATGCTGATAAATTGTATCATCATATAGCTTGAAACATTACCATTGCATTTTGGAATTTCTCCCAAAAGATTATTATGTGATAAGTCAAGAAGAATTATTGAAGGCATTTGACATATAGAATTAGGGATTTCACTTAAGAGATGATTTTGAGAAAGGTCAAGCAGTACCAACCCACTCATGTTCCCATTTAGATATAACTCAATCCCGCTTGAGAACTTATTATTCGAAAATGATACCCATCGTACAAAATTCATTGGCCGAGGAAGGCGCCCTTCCAATTGATTTGATCTTAAGTCGATAGTTGCTCCCAATGGCTCCAAATGCAATATTCAAAGACATTGGAAGTTCACCTCTAATTGCATTTTGAGATATGTTCAAGTACTTTATTTGAGATGATACATTCCAAAACCAACTCGGAATGATATCAGAAATACCACAATTAGAGAGGTCTAACTTGGAAAGGAGTTTTTGATTTTGAAGCCATAGTGGGAATTGAGGACCAACAGGACAAGAACGTAGGAAAAGATAATAAATTTGAAATGGTGGAGTCCAATAAGGACTAATCATGTTAAAATTCAATTGATTATCTGAAAGATATAAGTATGTCAATTTTTATAGATTTGCAAAATGAAATTCAGAGAGACTACCATGCAAATTATTGGAACGAAGATCCAAATAAGCTAAGTTAGTCAGCTGTCCAAGACTCCGTGGAATAATTCCATCAAATTGATTATTTCCAAGATAAAGAAATGTTAAATTTCTCATATTTCCAACCCATTCAGGTATGCTTCCACACAGTTGGTTATTAGAGATATCCATTCTAGTCATTTTATATTCATTGCATTTTAAAGCAGTTCCATCATCACTAAATTTTGTCAAATTATTATAGCTAAGGTCCAAATCATTGAGATCACATAATAAGCTTAATGATGCAAATGAGATAGGTCCTGTTAAAAAGTTTGAGTCGAGGTATAATGCCTTTAACCTTTTAAATTGTCCTAACCAGTTTGGCAAACTTCCATTGAGATGGTTATATGAAAGATCAAATGTTTCAATGATAGATGAAAAATTAGAATTAGGAAGTAAATTCGGAAGTGTTTGTAGGCTGCATGATGACAAAGACAAAGTGGAGATAGCTGGAAGCATACTAATCTCATGTAACCAATTCGCAGCAAATGTTAGATTCACATTCGACATATGAAGGAATTGTAAGGAGAAGAGGTGTGACATCCATAGGAGGTTATAAGCAACTAAAGAATTTAAACAAAGATCAAGGAATCTAAGTTTTGTCAAGTTTCCAATATGAGGTGGAATTTCTCCGACGAACCCCGAAAAGGAGAGATCAAGATGGCTCAGTTTAGTGAGAGAACCAATAGAAAAAGGGATCCTCGTTTGATTGAATTGAATGAAACTCAAGCACAAATATTGCAAGTGTCGCAAGCGAAAAAAAGATGGATGTAAAGGTGCGGCATATAAAATATCTTTAAAAACTGATAAATCGAGCTTGTTGACATGATTGGTTTTATTACTACAACCTACTCCTTTCCACGTGCAACAATCTTCGTCTATATCCCAACTCGAGAGAGCGCGAAGAGGATCAGATATACTTTGCTTTAAATCAAGGAGGGCATGTATTTCCTCAGCACTGCAGCGTTGGTTCACCTTGCGAATAGCTAAGCCACCTTCACTTTCCGCTCTCAAGTAATAGTGAGATAGAGTAAAAATTAGCAGTAGAGAAAACTGAACTCTTTCCATCAGAGTTTGCATGATTCTGGCTCTCTTTCTCTATCCCTATTTATAGCACCTTCGTTGGAACATAATGCTTGATAAGATTAATTTTTATTGACCAACATCATATTTGACTGACTTACCGCATTGACTGACTTATAGCACTAAAGTGTTTTAAATATAAATATCAAATTGTAAGTGATGGATATATAAATTCATATGAGTTGTGTGGTACATAAGTAAATTTTCCTTGCAATTATTGAGTTGATATATTATGTCTAAATGAGACAGGAGCCATAACCATCATTGTTGACTGACTTACTGAATTGATGACGAAGGTATGGCCTTGACATGGACTTCTTGGGGCGTGAGTCTTTCCAACGAAACTTACATAAATAAAATAATTATTAATTAATTAATGAGATTAATATTAGCATTGGTATGGCCGATCCAAATATTAAATTTTATAATATTTTTAAAGTATTTTATTTCAATTTAAAATAAAAAACTTGACCTGAATAACGAGCTAATGAGCCGAGTAGGGTTGTCTTAAGCCAAACCTTTTAGCTCATCGAACTTGGCTTCTAATCAAGTTGAACTCGAGGTGATGCATGAGTGTTCTTGACTCTGTTACACCCTAACTTACACTGATTAAATACATTGATTATGACCAGAATAACTTTTGTAATAGTAGTGAATAGAGCTATCCATAAGATTAATTTTGAGTCCCAATCAATCATTAGGCTTCACTCATACAATTAGAATTGTAAACGAGCCAAACTTGAGCAAACTCAGGCCTGGCTCGTGTTCGACTCATCTGGAATTACTCGTGTTTGAAATCAGCTCGTGAACAGTGCGTTTGCGTTCGACACGAATTAAATATTCTTGCTCGTGTTCGGCCTCTTAAAATTAATTGAAAAAATTAGATGAAGTGTTAAGAGAGTGTTTATGTTGCATAATTAAATAGTCTTTCAAGATAATTGACATTAAAAGAATTGATTCTATTTATTTTGATAGGTATTTTTATTCACCATTTGGGGCATTTAATACCAAAATTTTTTCATTAAAAGTTTGAAAATGAAAAAAAAAATTTATAGCCAATTGATGTAACCTACATTATAACCAAAATAATAAAATTTAGTTTTTCTGTCAATAGAAGAAGACAAGATTACCAAATATAGATAAAACACAAGCTCATCTTTATGTCGCTAAAGAAGAAAATGATGGGGAATTGTTGAATGGTGAAAATTGCGACAGGTGGAGTTCGGTAGGGTGCTGGCTAGCGAGCAGACGCGATTATTTGTGAACAGTGATTTCGCAGAGGTATTTCGCAAAGGGTTTCGCTCACGGGACAGCAGTTTAGCCGAGGTGCTAGCGCGAACGAAAAAAGTGCTTCAACCCACATTTGTGCATAAGAAACTTCATGATATATTTCTCCTAAGGGGTTGGATATTCGTAAGTGGAGATTTTCTCCTAAGGGACATGATATTCGCAAGGTGGAGATATTTCTCCTAAGGGCTGGATATTCGCAAGGTGAAGATTTTCTCCTAAAGGGCGCAAGGTGGAGATTTTCTCCTAAAGGGTTGGATATTTGCCAAGGTGGAGAATTGTTATGCATGACTCATAATACCAGAATTCAAAGTCTCTTCGAATAAAGAGACGTCTCTTGGAATTGAAGAGGTGTGTCTCTTGGAGTTTAGTGGGTTGAGATCAGCGTGAGCGCAACAGAAGCATAGTGGCGCAACCCACATTGATGCAGGTGTAACTTCCAGGTATTTTTTCTCCTAATGGGTTGGATATTCGCCAAAGTAGAGATTAGTTATGGTATGACTCATATCCATATAGGGACATATGCTGGAACAAAGCGGAGCGGAGTAGAGCGGAGCGAAACAGAAGAATCTGTCCAAATTGGGAAGTTACGTCATGTGGGTTGGGGGTGCTGGGTCAACGCTCCGCTATACGGTACATGGGTAATTTGGTAATTACATATTGTACTGTAGGGTTTACTCTATGATTATAAATAGACTGTTTGTAATTCTAGGTCTTTGAGAGAGTTGAATCTTGTATTTTGTATTTTTTTATGAATATTGAAAGGACGTCGTCGCCCTGCTCCCGAGGATGTAGGCAGATTTGTCGAACCTCGTTAAATCTCTGTGTGTTTTTCTGGATTTTTGTCGTCACTATTTTTCTTCGCCCTAATTTTCTCAACATTAACATTTTTCTTTATTATATGGAAGATTTGGTTGGCACAACTGTAAAACATAAGGTGTCGGTGTGGAAAACGAAAATATATATAAATTGGCTGGTGTGTATGTAAATGCCCCTTCTATCCTACCAAGAGTGATGGCACATAAATAATAATTCTACATTTTGGGACATTTATCTATAAACCACAATTCCTATGTATATTCCTATCTAATACGTAAACTATAATATTTATTGATGTGTGTTGGAAAATTCATAGCGGTAGAGTAATGGATTATCGTCTTAGCGTTGTACGAGCACACAGATGAAAGAGAACAAACAGTGATGACTCCATAAACTTTTACGTGGAAAACCTGAAAACGGAAAAACCACGGAGTCTGACCCAATTGTGAAAATCCACTATTGATTGACTTGAGCTCTTTTTCAAACCTCAATTTCTTTTTCAAACAGTCGACAATGGCAGGGATGTTGTTGGACTTGAGCTCTTTTTCAAACCTCAAGTTCTCTCTCAAGTCTCCTCCCTCATGTGAGGGGTGGGGTTTTATTTATAATGTTTTGGGTGCAATTAATGCAAGAATATGAACTATTTTAATTGGAAAATCCGGAGAACTTCCCTCGACTGGATGACATTTGATTGAAATTTGAGTGCCTTAACAATGTCAGAATTGAGCAATCTTGCGCTCGTTGGATTCGTCTTGTCAAGACGCTCGATTTGAGTATAGAATTGCTAGCGTCAACATTAGTTCTTTCTTCCAAATGTGTTTGGAAATATCTAAGAGTGATTTAATGACTT